TTTTATACCTTTATCTGTTTGTACATTTAAAAAAAAAGAGAAAATACATAATTGGTAATTATTATTATTATTATTATGATATTATTATTATTATTTACTTATTTATTTATTTATATATATACACACGTGTTAACGTATACGAATTATTTACACCAACTTTGGGTGGTGATTTTATGAATGATGATAATAATTTTTCTTTTATTATTATCACCATCATACATATTATTCATAATAATAATAAATTATTATTATTTGAAATATTTTAATTCTTCCTTCGTCAACATTATTAACTTATCATTAATATCATTATTAAATTTATATACACATAAAATTGTTTTTATTTTGTATCGATGCAAATATATATATATATATACTTATTTATATACATGCATATAAGAAAACAATTTTTTCTTATTATTATTATTATTTATGTAAAATAATTATTTCTGCAAAAAAAATCACAGATGATTTTGTTGTGTTTATATGTGTTGAGTTTAGTGAAATCATTGTTTATGGAAATAAATTATTTGTCTGTTGACCCGACAGGAAATCGTCGGGGTTTAAGAGCAGGTTAAAAAAAAAAAAAAATTTTTTTTCTGTCATTTAAATTTTTGGCAATCGAATGAATTTTTATAGAAAAAACCAAAAGCGTTTAAATTTTGATTTGCTTTTTTTTTTTGATAAGGTACATACCTGAAAATTATTAATTAATTAATTTTTTGTTAAAATCTACCTAGACAAAAAATAATCAATCTGCACTCCATGTTTGTTTTTGGTATTGAAAAAATTTATTAAGATTTTTTTAAAATTACGAAATATAAAAAAACGTTTTATTCCTATATATTTTTTATGTGGAAACAGGTTTTTCTTAAATTGTAAAAATTTTATCGAGAAAAATAAAATTAAAAAAAAAAAAATTTTTTTTTTTGTCGTACCTGAACTTTTTTTTTTTATATAAAATGACCCGTATTCTAGAATAATAATAATTTTTTAAATTGATAAATAAGGTTCAGGTTTGGTTTTTTGAAAAATTATTTTGATTTTCACGATTGTAAAAAAATATAAATTCGAATTATAGAAATTACCTGGTTCCACGTGTCACAAAAAAAAAAATAAAATAAAATTCTTAATAAATTTTTTCAATTAATTTTTATTGACATTATCGAGTAATATTATTGTGGTTGTGGTTGTTGTTGATGAGAAAATATTTAATTAAAATTTCACGTGTTATTCATATTGTTTCCATTGTTGTTGGCATTCATGTTTTGATTAGGAGCATTTGAGTTTGTATTGTTCAAAGAAAATCCTAAAACTCTTGGATCTCCGTGCAACCTAAGAGCTTGTTCCAATCTTTGTTCTTGCAACCTCAAAGCTTCCGTTAAATCTGGACTCAGTTGATTGTGCATGTTGTTTTGATTTCTTTCGCTTGTTACAGCTGCAGCAGCTTGACTCACGGCCAATCTTAACGCTGCTTCCGCTTGAGACCGAAGAAGAGCTTCAGCCGCTTGCTGTTGAATTCTAAAAACGCTATCGTTTTGCTGTTGTTGACCACCTAATGAATTTTCCAAATATCCAGGTCGTATACCAGTCAGAGATTCTATATTTCTCATGTTTTCTAAATTGGCTCTCATCGCGTTTACTGCTAATTGTTGGGCATGCGTCGGAGTCATGTCGTTTCTAGGCGTTACCATATCCTTATTGAATACATCAGGTTTTATGTCGGCGGAAGGAGGATGAATTTCGTTATTGTTGTGATTTGATGGTGTCATTTGTAAACCGTTGGTTTCGACGTTATATTTATCTTGATTGTTCATAAAATCCTTATTCTGATTAACGGGTTGTTCGGAATCCGTTTGCATGTTTTGAGCTTGGGCTATGGCAGCATTAAGTGCCGCCATTCTATTTGGAATATTATTGTACTCAACAGGGGGAGGAGTAGATGGTCTTACCGCATTCATATTTGGCGAAATGTGTGTCAAATCTAATTTGTTATTGTTATTATTATTGGCTATGGCACCTGTTTCACTCCCAGTTGACGAAAGATGTTCTATCGAAGAAGAATCACTCGGAGCCGGCGACGGGCAAAGCGAATTGACGGGTTGTCCTGTATCAAATTGTCAAAAATATTAAAACAACCAAACCGTGGAAAATAAATTTTTTTTTTTTCTTTCTACCCTATATGACTAACCTCCACCAATGCCAAAATTTCCGGCATTGCTTGCTGCCACGGCTGCAGCAATTAACGATTCTCTTTCTCTTCTTTCAGCGGCAGCCCTGCTAAGAACATATTGAGCCGCAAACTGATGTTTAGGATCCATTCTCATATGTTCCATATGACTTAACAATCCTGTAACAATACCACGTTTGTTTTTTTTTAAATTTCCAATAAGTAAATAATAAATTATTATGCAAACAAAAAATTCGATTGATGGTGAACAAAGGTGCATATATATGTATATATCATGATAAAATCACAGTTATATCATTATCATTATTATTTTTAATATTAGAAAACCCTGGGAAATAGATAAATGTGCATAAAATTTATTCTCTCTCTCTTTCAATGAAGAAAAGAAAATAAATTGAAATGAAACTCACCACTTTCATTTGTAAAAACAGCTTGACAGACCGAACAAGGCCACATCCTAAGGGAGGATGATAACTGGGAGGTCTCGGGATGGCTGGTCATATGCTTCCTCAGACTTCCTTCATTCACGTAATGCTTGCCGCATATTGGGCAAGGGTGATTTGCAGTTCTCCGCTTAGCTAAATAGGAGCCGGTAGCAAGAAAAGAAGTAAGTTAACTACATTGTTGTGTCATAGCATACCTAAACCTCACCCAACCCATATGATTTCATCATGATTCTATCTTTTTTACGGTTAAAATTATGCCAACCTATTTTCACCATCAATAAGAGCAAATTTTTCTTTTTCTTTTCGTATGTTACGAGTTTTCGTGTCAAAATACTTACTGGCAACCCCAGTAGCATTTGGATCCTTATGCGTGTGTTTCATGTGTTCCATTAGATTATCACCGCCCAAGAAAAGTTTGTGGCACAATGGACAAGTAACGGCGTTTTGACTGCCCAACAATGCTGCATGTGCTGGATTGTGGGCATTTCCTAACTGTGACATTTCCTAAAAACATAACAAAAACATTTTTTTGTTTTTTTTTAACATCAGCACCCTTTTTCCTATATTTTCACGTCCCCCCACGCGTAACAAAGCCAAAAACCCACAATTCAGTGCAATTATTACCTTCTCTTTTTTTATTTTAATAATTTTAAATCTTTAATAAATTATTACGGGTAATAAAAAAAAAAACTTACATGAAGTCTCGGCTCAAGACTTGTTAGTGGTATTCCCATAAGTGCTTCCCTTTGTTCCTTATTAAATAAAAAAATAAATAAAATAAATAAATATGTGAGTATGAACTCGTTAAATACAATTAATAAAATAAATAATAATAATAACTAATTGAAGCGATTAATAATTATTTAATAAAAAAAAAGGGAAGCACTTAAATTTAATCATAATCGAGATTTTTAATTACCGGAAAAAGGTAATAATAATAATAATAATAATGTTAAATAAATAAATAAATAGATAAATTTTAAATAAAATCCCTCGTAACAAAGAAGTAGATAATAATAATAATAATAATAATAATATTTATGTGAAATGTAATAACGGTCAAAGGTCGATTAGATATATATATATATATATATATATATATATGTAATAACGGTCAAAGGTCGATTAGATATATATATATATATATATATATATATATATATTTTTCACGTGTGTAAAATACAAAAAGGATGTTAAAATTTTAATTAGCGGATTATTATCTATAAAAAAAAAAAACAAAACAAAAATTATTCATTGATAATAATGATAATGATAAACATTAGCATCTATCTATCACGGTTAAATTTCTATTTTGGTTATAATAGATAATAGATTTATTTTATCTACTAGAATGACGCGGTTAAATTTTAATTGAAAATATTTAATTATTATTATTATTATTATCATTATCGGTTTTATAAAATTTAAAAATACGCGGCGACGAGAGAATTTTTATATATATAAAAAAACCTTGTAAGTTAAATATATAAAAATAAAAGTTTATTAAAAAAAAAAAAAAAAATGGAGGATGAAAAAGCTCAACAAGAAAATAAAAAACAAATTAGTTTGAATTTAAAATAAAATAAAATAATAAAAAAAAAATTTTTTTTGTTTTTCTGTATCACGAGACTCCCCGAGATATTATTTTTGAAAAGAAAAGAAAAGCTCACGGCAATGTCCCGGAATAAAAAAAAAAAGTGTCGGAAAAATCCCTTGTTTGTAATTCCTTTATTTTTTTTTTTAACTCCCACATTGGAAAATTAAAAAAAAAAAAAATAATATTAACAATAATAATAATAAAAATAACAAAAGAAGAAGAAAATAATAAAATCTACGATTATTATTATTATTATTATTATCGTGACGATTTCTAAAATAATTAATACGTCATAAATAACAACAGGTAATAAAAAAAAAAAAAAAAAATTCGTAACTTTTCATTTAAACGAGTTTGTACGATTCCATTTTGTTATTGATTTATATTATTATCTTACCACTCACATTCTCCCCACCCTCCCCTCCCCTCATCCCCCGAAAAAAATAAAAATTTGTTGAGTCAATTACAATTAATAAAAAAAAAATTTTGACTCACAAATTTTTTTTTTTTTTTAAACACGATAATAATAATTATTATTATCTACTTACTTTTCTATAAAAACGCACTTTTAAATTATTATTATTATTACTATCATTATTAGCATTATTATTATTATAATTACAATAAAATTAATAATTTAAAATAAGAAAAATTTTTAATAAAAATGATAATTTTAAACCGTCGTCAGTCGAGTGAAAGAAAAAAAAAAAAAACGCCGAGGGTGAAACGATTCAAGCGTCACCCCTAAAAAAAGGCCACCCTGGATAATGAAAAAAAAAAAAAAGGAAAAAATTCACAAAAGGTTTTCTATTAACGAAACGGAGATATAAGGTTTTGATACGTTACTATAAGATATAAAAAAAATACAAAAAAAAAATTGCCCACCCTTATTTTTGTTTTTTTTTTTTTTATTTGTCATTACGATGAAATTAGGCACGGCCCACTTTTTGGGAGTGGTGGGAGTGAGAGTGAGAGTGGGGGGGTGGGGGGTAACGAATAAAAATATTCATCCCATAATTCCCAACCCATTTAAATATTTTAGTATATATAAAAACCGCAATTAAAAAAAAAAAAAAAATTATAAATTGATTTGTTAATGTGTGTATAAAAAAAATAATTCATTCAATGAATGAATGAATGAATTTTTTTTTTTTTAGAAAAAAAAAAAAGGCAAAAGGTTTGCGGTTACGTTTGGGTAACCAAACCTTTTTTTTTTCAACCTTCGGCCAATATATTTAATCAAAAATTTTGAAAAAAACGGGTTTTGCGTTACGTAACCGTAAAAAAA